CGTGCCAGCAGGCGCGGAAACCTGGCGCTTTGGGCGAAACCCTCCTTTATCTTGGATTAAAAAGGCAGCCGGCGTGCAGGTGCCGACTGCCGACCTACGACCTCCAGCATGACTCGGGAGGCGAGGCCTCCTGCGACAGCTTAAAGCCCGAGGAAGGTGAAGGATGTCACAGCTGGAGATTTAATGCCGGCAGAGGGGCGCTCGGCCGTTTTAGGAAGAGGCTCCCCTTGAAAACGTCACGACAGCAGGAGAAGCAGCTTCTGCCGGCCGAGGACAGGTTTTAACGCAGACGAAAGTCACAGAACATGCACCGTGACTGCAGAGGGACACGGCGCTCACACGTGGAGACCGGGCGGCAACCAGACAGAGGGCCAGCGGGTGGTCTGACCCAGGAGCAGTGTCCACAGCACCGCGGGGTCCACACCAGGAAGAGAGAGAGAACGCACTGGGGAGGGATTTCTTTTTGTTTCCGATTTCCGCCGGCCGGCAGCTTTCCCAGAGGCGCCACTGAAAGCTGGGCCGACAGCCGGGGGCTGCGGACTGCCAGGTGACGCTGCTACGCGGAGACCCTCGCCTCTGGCAAAGCCCCCTCCCCCGCCCCTCCGTCCTGTGCCGATGCCCCACGGGAACCTGGGTCCGAAGACAGACAGCTCTGTTTTCACTGCCATGATAATAAAACGCAGTTATGGAGTCATGTAAACGCGCGTACGAAAACACGAGGGGAGCCAAGCGCGGCAGGCGGGGCGCGGCCCCTGGTGCCAGGCGGGGCCGCTCCGCCCTCGAGCACGTGCACGGAATTCAATCGCGATTGTGTTTTTATTTTGAAAGAATTCGAAACTTATAATTTGCAAAAACAATACGAAGATTATACACACTGTCAGCCTCCCGATGTTCCTGTCTCATGGAATCACAGCACAATCAGCAAAACTTACCTACCCCGTGGGCTTGATCTGGCTCCACGTTTTTCCACTGATGTCCTCGGTACTCGTTCCAGTAAAACAGTTTTAAATCTCATTTCCAGGGCCCAATGCAGGCCCCAGGCTGCATCTAGTTGCTGTGTCCCCTCAGTCCCTCCATGTCCTTCACGATGAGATGGTCCTTGTGGGGAGAGCCGGGAAGGTGCTTTGTGGACGGTTCCTCGGCATCTCGCTGTGGGTCATGTCGTCACCCACCCCAGCCAAGAGGTCTGTTGGGTTTCTCCACTGTAAGGTCACTAGTTTTTCCTGTGTAATCAATAATTGCCTTGAAGAGATACTTTGAAGCTCCGTACGTTCCCTTCAGTCACCAATTTTGTGTCCGTAAGTGGCTGTCGCTGTGGTGTGTCAGTTTCGGATTCCGATTGTCTTTATTTACCTGCTGGACCTCTGTGAGGGACAGCTGCCTGCGGCCCCATCTGTCTGTTTATTCAGTTATTTACCTCAGTGAGAAATCAGAGTATTTATCACATTTTATGGGTTATGACGACGTTTCTAAGGCTTGTCTTGCTGCCCACACTGCCCTAGCATTGGTCATGCGGTCCTTTCAGGTGGCCCCTGTCCACGTTCTCAGAGCACCCCAAGACCCTGCAGGCTCCGCGCTGTAATCTACTGGCTCTCCGAGGATGCAGGTCCCTGTTACCGGTGCTTAGATGGCATTTTGGTGGCGCTTGGATGGCATTTTGGTGGCTCTCAGAACCGAGGCGAAGGGGGGGCCTGGGTGGGCTCATGTGGGGCCTCAGGGGACAGTGCTGGGGAAGGCGCGTCCCCGCGTCCACCTGTCTGTATCCTCCATTCTGGCCCTGGACAGGCGCTTGTACTGTCACACGCTGCCACCCTTGTGACTTTATTTCTGACGACGACAGACATGGCTTTCTTCACGTGCAGTGTATCTGCTGTTCTCCGTTCAACCCCAGTGCGCCTGGCGCGTCTCCCCCGCCACCTCCGTCTTATGTCCCTGGGATGTTCTGACACGTTCAAGGTCATTTCACGTCGCGGCCCCGCCCCTGGGCACGCGGGTCA